CACTAGTGCAAAAATGTAAAAGGGTCAAATCTGGCTCAGATTTTAAATTCCATACATTTTAAAAAATTCCAAAAGCAACCTAATACATTCTCCTGAATGGCTGAAGCCAAACTTTGTAGAACGGAAAAAATTAGAAATGGAAGTGACTCACGACTGACTGGAAAGAGTGAAAATTTTCATAATCAGTCTGCTTAAGTGTTTATTTGCAGAGCTGTGAGAAACAGTTCTAAAAACTAAAAGAAAAAAAGTGAAAAGTACATTAAGTGTTCAGTTTTTTAAATCTAAAATTATTAGAAACTTGGGAATTTTTAACACTCCCAAGAATCAGTATAATGATAAAGTTTTGAAATAAACACTTGCAAACACTCAGGTTATTAATAGGAGAAAAATCCAGAATCTGAGCCCACAGATAAGCCATCACACTCTGATAGCTGGTACCAAGGGACCAGTGTTTCTCAAACACTTTTCGGGCCCACCAGGACAGAGAGAATATGAAGCTGGTGTATTGGCAGTGGCCAATGAGCGGACTCTCTCTTATATGGATGGAGCTGTCCTGCGGGTGAGTGAGAGAAGTGATAACTTCTTCCCCTGTAGACCTCAAAGCAATTTACAAATGGAAGCTAGTATCATTATTACTTAAATACACACACACTGAAGTACAGAAAGAGCATGGGACTTGCTTAGTCACACAGCCACTCAGTAGCAGTCAGGAGTCCTGACCCCAAGTCTTGAACACTGATTTGTGGGGATCAGTGCTCTCTTATTTCTCCCCTCCAAACCAGCTGCCTTTTCATGGGGCTAACAGGCACATCGTGCGCAATGAGGACAACACACCAATGACCGCCAAAGCCTCGCCACAGAGCCGTACAAAGGTGTCAGCTGGACCCCTCGGACAACGGCGCTGAACAGAAAGAGCTGACCCCAAGGGATCCCCCTGAGGTGGGGAGGCTCCATGAGGGTCAGACTGAGCCTCCCGCAGCTCCCCAGGCCTGGCACAGATCACAGCCTGCAACCCCGCCGCCCGGATCAGAGCAGGGGACACAACCCAGGAGGGACAGACTCAGGCTGGGGGAGAGGCTGAGCCCTGACCCCCCCAGCAGAGCATGACGAGGGGGACGGACAGACAGACAGACACCAAAGGGGGGGGTTAAGGCACAGACACGGGGGTACGAGGACAGACAGACACACCAAGCTGGGGCGGGGGAAGGGAATAAGGGGCCCTGGGAGGGACTCAGAGAGAGGAGAGGGCCAGTGAGACAGACAGACGGACTCAATAGGGGAGGGTCAGACGGACAGGCGCGGGGGGGAGGGTCGGACAGACGGACGGACAGACAGACGCGGGGGGGGGGTCGGACGGACGGACGGACAGACAGACGCGGGGGGGGGGGTCGGACGGACGGACAGACGCGGGGGGGGGTCGGACGGACGGACAGACAGACAGACAGACAGACGCGGGGGGGGGTCGGACGGACAGACAGACGCGGGGGGGGGTCGGACGGACGGACAGACAGACAGACGCGGGGGAGCGTCGGACGGACGGACGGACAGACAGACGCGGGGGGGGGTCGGACGGACAGACAGACGCGGGGGGGTCGGACGGACGGACAGACAGACGGGGGGGGTCGGACGGACGGACGGACAGACAGACAGACAGACGCGGGGGGGTCGGACGGACGGACGGACAGACAGACAGACAGACGCGGGGGGGTCGGACGGACGGACAGACAGACGCGGGGGGGGGTCGGACGGACGGACGGACAGACAGACAGACAGACGCGGGGGGGGTCGGACGGACGGACGGACAGACAGACGCGGGGGGGGTCGGACGGACGGACGGACAGACAGACAGACAGACAGACGCGGGGGGGGGTCGGACGGACAGACAGACGCGGGGGGGGGGGGTCGGACGCCACAGCCCGGGGTGTCAGGGCGGGCGGCCCCGTCGGTACCTGCTCATGGCCCCAACCGCCGCCCGCGGCTCTGTCCCGGCGCCGGTGACAGCTTCAGGCCGGAAGCAAATCCCGGCTCGGGGCAGGCCGCTTCCGGGCCCCGCGCCACCCACAGGCCGCTTTCACCAGGCGTCGGCGTGACCCCTGACCCCGGAAGAGATCGGGACTTTCCCTCCCTCCCTGCTCGTGGGGAGGAACCATCCGGCACGGGGGCGAACATCGGGGAGAAACCATCGCGGGGAGAGGGGGACTGAAGCCGGGCTGCTGGGCATTGTACAGCCAGAGCGGGGGAGCCCCTGACTGCGGGGGCAGGACACCCCTTCATGGGGAGGGGGAGCCCCTGATTGTGGGGGAGGACACCCCTTCATGGGGAGGGGGAGCCCCTGATTGTGGGGGCAGGACACCCCTTCATGGGGAGGGGGAGCCCCTGATTGTGGGGGGAGCCCCTGATTGTGGGGGCAGGACACCCCTTCATGGGGAGGGGGAGCCCCTGTTTGTGGGGGGAGCCCCTGACTGCGGGGGCAGGACACCCCTTCATGGGGAGGGGGAGCCCCTGTTTGTGGGGGCAGGACACCCCTTCATGGGGAGGGGGAGCCCCTGTTTGTGGGGGGAGCCCCTGATTGTGGGGGCAGGACACCCCTTCATGGGGAGGGGGAGCCCCTGATTGTGGGGGGAGCCCCTGTTTGTGGGGGCAGGACACCCCTTCATGGGGAGGGGGAGCCCCTGCTTGTGGGGGCAGGACACCCCTTCATGGGGAGGGGGAGCCCCTGTTTGTGGGGGCAGGACATCCCTTCATGGGGAGGGGGAGCCCCTGATTGTGGGGGGAGCCCCTGATTGTGGGGGCAGGACACCCCTTCATGGGGAGGGGGAGCCCCTGATTGTGGGGGCAGGACACCCCTTCATGGGGAGGGGGAGCCCCTGATTGGGGGGGGGAGGACCCCTACGTGGGGATGGATGGCACCCCCCCTCTCACTGCCCCTTCGCTAGGAAGGGTCTCATGTAAGGGGCTCCCTGTGGGGATGGGCGCGGTGCAGGCAGATGCTGGCATAGGGCAGGATCTCTCCAGGCTAAGGAATCTACGGAGGTGCCAGCATCCTGGTTCCTGCTTGGCTCATGGAGATAGGAGCCCTCGGACACCTCCCGTCCCCCAGTAATATAATGTGAGGGTGAGCTGGTGCCTGCTCTCCGTGCTGCGGATGGCCCCCCTTCTCCTGATCAGGGCTGTCGGCTGGATTGTCAACGTTCTCAGCAGACTGGGACGAGCTGTGATCTGAGCACGGGACCAGGAGCTTGTCCTGAGGTCCAAAAAGCAGGGCGGGCAGAGGCCTGGGAGAATGGACAACTGTCTGTCTAGAAATGGTCCAAGGCTTTCATCAACCTCCATTCTCCCTTTGGAGCCTTAGCAGTTCGCCTCACACTCATCAGGCCCATCTTGCTTACACTGGGGCAAATCATGAGTAGCTACTGAAGTTAGTGGACTTGCTTTGCTGCAAAGCAAGCATCACTGAGAGGCGAATCAGGCCCTCCAGGCTGTGGGGTGAGCACAGGTGCTTGGAAAGAGATGGATTGCATATCACCTGACTTTCAGCTCATTTGCTGGTAGGTATTGTTAGTGAGGCAGCAAACCCTGGAGAGCCTGTGGGGGAAACCCACGGAGGTCAGTGGAGTCTGTGTGGGTCTCTGGCTAGAGGAACAAGACTGGGAGTCAGGAAATCTGTATTCAGCATGACCTTGGAGAAATCACTTCACCTCTCTGCCCCAAATCCATGTTCCTTAAGTGGCAGTACAATATGGTAGCCAGCCCCCTCTGAGCCAGAATTTCCTACCTGGGTAGTCCACTGCATTCCACATTGGATCAGCCCAGAACAAGCCCTTACAAGTCTGCCACCTTCCTGCGGGAAGGGATCAGGGAAAGAAACAGGCCTGTGTTGACTGGAGAATGCAGATTGACTTTATTAATAACATGAAACTGGCCCTTGTCCGCAGTGGGACGGGTGCCAGGACCTTGCATCTTGGCAGCTTTATTTATTTCCTTGTGAAAAGTCAATTGGTGGAATGAGGGTATTGCTGGCTTCACTCAAGATGCTGCTCTTGAGCAACAATGCCCTTGCTGTGAGCCGTTCCGTTGCCAGCCAAAGCAAAAACCAGTTCCTGTACAAAAACAAAGGTACCCCTTGACGCTGCATTGGGCAGCCAAACCCGTGTGCGTACTTAAAACACACACTGGGAGGAGCACAATAAGGTGTAGTGAGGTGGGATTAGCTGGACTAATAACCTCCAGAGGCAAGAAAACAGACTAGGGCCCAGATCCTCAAAACTATTCAGGCACCTAACTGTTGTTGATTTCAATGGCATCTCTTGAGTACAGCATATGGGTCATGGGACTTAATGGCCAACTGTTACTAATAGCACTGCAGAATTCAGGGGGGCTGGTGGTGGATTACAGAGACCCTTAGACCTAGGTCACTGCTTCTACTCCAGCCCAGCTTGGGTGGGAAGTTGTTACTGACTGATCCTAGCAGGTGTGGCTCCATATCACAAAAACCCACCACCACTTCACCTCCTTGTTGAAAGCCTCAGCAGAGAAGCCAAAGACTGACTGGATCCTGACTGCCCGTCTGACTCTGAGAGGGGAGCCTGGCAGGTCAGTATGATGAAGCTTGCACAGGTGCTGCCCATCCTGTACCTAGCCCTATTTCCCCTGCCTTTCCCATCCTTGTACAGAGAGCCTAACAGCCATTGTTCTGAGTCTCAGACAAGAACCTGCTCTTTCACCATCTGGCGCTGCAGTGACTCCAGCCCACGCTCCCTCTGTCACCATCTCTGTGGCTCTCCAAGGCCCTAGCACCCTATGGAGCACAAGGGATTGCGAGTTGCGGCCAAGTCTTCTGCTTACCAGCAGGGAGGCATTAACCTCTACATCAGCCCCACACACTTACTGTACCCTGCTGGGAGGCCTTGGGCCCTTGGTGACAGAAGGAGGACTAGCCAGGCCTATTGTATCAGAGTGTCTCCTCCTTTACCCTCTCCCATTAAAACACACTGCAAAGATTTATTTACAAAGCTTTATTACCGCAATGAGGTGCACGGAAGGGGCGTTGCTCAATACAGGATCAAAGGGTACAGAGAGAGAGAGAGAGAAGGAGAGAGAGTGACCTAAACTAGACTAAGAAGCTGCCTCTTGCTCGCAGTCCCCATTAGGGATGATATAACCATGGAAAACAGCATTTTGGATTTGGCAAACAGGAACTTGCATGTTCCATGTTAATGTTCCCACCGAAGGGGCTGGTTCAAATCCAGCTCAAGCCACTAGCCATTGTAAGCTGTGTGGTGGCTCCTGTGAAACAAGTCAGTGGGTTCTTGGCTCAGGTCCCAGGAGATAAGTGGCCACATGACAAAAATCACCCTCACTAGCACAGACTGGCCTCTTTTGTTAGGCAGCATCAGCCTGGAAGCCAAGGATTGAGTGGGAGGCCTTCATCCTCACTAGAGACAGGGGCTCTAGGGGAATTAGGTACGTCCAAAACTTTGAGGATCCGAGCCAGGGTCCTTGCTACAGATTGAGCTTGAGGCACGTTGGTGGGGGAAGTTTGACCCTGTCTGCCCTAGGATATAAACTAGAGGACTTCAGTCTCCAGGGCTGGTGAACCAACACTATGGTTTGGCTCCACCTCTGTTCAACCCTCCGGTGCCATTTCACATTTTAATTTTAAAGTAATCCCACCTGACCTATCTCCCCTGTGTTCGGTGCCCCTGCGCCCAGACTCCGCTCCGCTGAAAGTCATGGAGATGCGCTAGTGGGTGGAATCATCTTCAAGCTTTTCTCCTCTGCTCAGCACTCCCCTAGTACCACTGGGCTTCCCCCTGCCACATGGAGCTGGAGTTTGCTCCTGTGTTCCTCTCTTGCTCTGTGGTCTTTCAGAGAAGCTAAGAGCTGGTTTGCTTTAATGAAACATATAAACCAGTGGAGATAAAGACCAGATAGTCTCCCTGCTGGAAGGAAGGAATTCGTGCCCAGCTTTGCCCGTGCATGCACCCACAAACCCTTCCACACAAGCCAGGATTTCACACCCTAGGGCAGCTCTTGCTAGGACAACTCCAAGGCTTGTGAGTCTCAGGGTCTGTTCCTGGTGGGCAGGGTCTCCACCTCCCCTGCACCACCATCACTGACACTAATTGCCCCCCCCACACACACTTTTAGCATGCCCAAGCAAAAAGGGCAAGGACTGAATGGACCAAAAAGACTGAACGGTCCAAAGGAAGGGCCTTTCTTTAGGGTTGAAGACACGGGGGAAGCTGGCTTTGCTGCCACCTGTACTGCACTGGGACGTGCGATTGTCTCCTAAGCGAAGGAAGCCCCATTGTTTGGCACAGTTAGACGGATAGGACAGAGTACTAGTAAATGGAGAATAGGGGAAATCTTGCAGTAGCCTCCGGGCCTGGGATGGATTAGATGCCCCACGGCAAGAGGACTTGCCCATCTCTATCATCTTGTTGGACATGCAGAGACTTTCAAACATCTGTCCAGCTGCCACCTTTTGCCAGCACTACATTCACTTAACAGAAACAAGCCAACCATTGGCAGGTGATGGGAAAATCAGAAAGATGAGAAAGGAAAGGGGGAGGGGGGAATAAAGTAAATGAGGCTGTTAAGGAAAGAGAATCCATAACGTGGAGCGGGAAGATGAGTGCGTTCCACCTGTGGGACGGCTTCCTCCATCTTCCTTCCGCCACCCAGGCTAACTGGTGCCTCCCAGCGGGGAGGTGGTGGAGCAGTTCTCCACGTTCACAGAGCGCGGAGGTCTCTCTGCAAAGCCAACATGTCTCCGCTCCTTGATGTGTTCTTGGGAGGGGAAAAGGAAAAAATAAAATGCAGAAGCTGTAGATTGTGAGCTCCCCAGGGCAGGGATCAGCGGTTATTTGTTTGCACGGATCCTGCATTGACAGGAGTGCTTCGTTTATGGCTCTGAGGTGCAGGTCCTTAGAGCTTGGGACTGCTGGGGCCCCGGGTCTCTGACACTCCCTTGTCACCACCAAGGGAGATGGACAAAGCAGCACCTCACCAGTCCTGGAAGGTCAGGCCCCGCAGGAAGTCCTATCGGAACGGCCAAGGTGTACAGCCGCCTGATTGGCTCGCACCCACTGCTTCAGCCAGGAAGCGACCCGAGGGGGTGTCTGAGTAACCGTGCATGCTCCCCATTGCGGCTGCATCAGATTCAGCTCTTGCCTATCTCCCGCAATCTGCCTCCAGCCCATTCCCACTTCACTCCTGCCCTTGCCTCATCTCTGGCTACAGCCCTGACTGCTGGCTAGCAGACCTGGCCCTGACCCTGGCTCGTCGGCTGCCTACTGACTCTAACTGGACCCTGCAACCACTGATCTAAGTCCTTCCCATTGGGCCAGACAGCCTGTGCCCCGCTTCCTAACACTGGGGTGACTGTCCTACTGGGGTGACAATAATCCTGAATGCAGCTCTCCAAACTGCCCCAGGCTGAGATCCCTTTCTCTAATGGGAGGACCTTGCTTCCCCCAACACTCACTGTCATTTGCAAAACAGTTACCATTTGCAATCCAAATGCATGATTAGAGGGGGAAAATCCATTCCATGGATCCCATCAAGTGAACCTCTGGGGCAGGGATCCCAGCTTGTAGCTGTTAAAAAGCCACATGGCTCTTTTTGTGAGTGTCTGGGTGTTAACCAGAGTGTTGTGGCCAAACTCTAGCTCAGGGGAAACCTTTCCGCTGAGCCAAGCTTCTCCATGCGGTTTCAACAGGATGCAGGTTCCCCCTTCGCTTTGTGTTCCCAACTGTTAGTTGCCGTGTGCTGTTAAAACAGTAGCCACGTTCCACCCCAGAGGTGGCTGCATTTCAGCACTGGGGATGTGGCTCTTGTATTTTCCTTTGCTTACCCCACGTTTGTGGGTTAGATGAGGCTTCTTTAATGAATGTCTGTGAAGCTCTCTGAGAGCCGCCCAAGGAGCGGGTCTCCCTGAAGCGTCAATGTGCTCTGCATTAACTGGCTCTATTTATGGACTCTGCATCCAGCCCCGATTAATTCTGTGGTTGCTCCTGCTACACAACATACACCCCACCCCTGTTCTTGCTCCTCAGGCTCATGACGTTACCGCTCGGGGAAGGACTGTCCTGCCCTGGATCTGGATCCTGGGCCTTGGGCCCGTCTCCTTCAATAGCTTCAGGTTTCTCCCATTCAGCAAGTGAGTTCAGCTCATCCCCGAGTTCCGCTATCCCGCCAGCGAAGGACACTTTCTGGCCACCTTCCAGGAGTAAACACCAGCATGTTAATCAAATTCTAGGAGTGTCCATCCCCCAGCACGGAGGGTTCCAGACTTCATGCAACAATCAGACAAGTGCTTTAAAATGTCACCATGAATCAGTGAAATCCTGATTATTGATCCAGATCCAAGCCCTTCTTCCCCCAAAATTAACACTGGGATCCTCTGGAAAGACCCTTCCCCTTGTTTCCTCTACCAAAGGCTCCAAAGTTCCTCTCAGTCAGCCCACCAATCTACACACTCAGTCAGGGAAGGCTAATGAAAGACCTTGGGAAGCCAGATTAATTTGCAGCCACAAAAAGCCGCTGATTTGGGGTATCTCGATTTCTGAGACACCTGGGGGCCAGCTTACTGAGGAAGAAGAGGTCAGATGGACAAATCGACGGGAGCTGCGGGTGATCAGTGCCCCCTGAAAATCAGGCCCCTCCTGCCTTAGGCCTTGTCTACGCTACAAATGCCATCCTGGCAACGCCCCCGGTGTAGACGCAGCTTGTGCCAGCAGATGGCGTTTCTCTGTGGGCATAGCAAGACCACCTCCCTGAACAACATTAGCTATTCTGACAAGACTTAGTAGTAGGCACCTGGCCTTCGGGTTGGGGGCTGGAAAATGGTGCTAATTTTAGCCTTGATGCTGCAAAACCCAAACAATAAAAATGCAAAGGGAGACCAAAACCAGGGCTGATAAAGTCTCGGCCCCAGGTTAGTGCCAGGCCAGGTAGGTGCCTCCTCTGAAAACATAATGGAGATGCTGACTGACCCTTAACCTTGGAGGTATTGCTGGGTCTCCCACCCACTGCAACAAATCCCCACTGATTCTCCGTTGTCTATCGCACCGGCGGATTACCTTTCCTTTTGTGTGATTTGATGACAGCTGGAGAGATACGGGGTTCAAATGCCTTGGTCTCATTTCCCGGGGCTTTTCGGGAGGCAGCAACAAAGGAGAAAAAGAACAAGACGCGTTGCACAGAATTCTCCGTTGGAAATATTAACAAAGGGGATAAACAAGGCGGCAAGGGGGCCACACGCCTGTCGCAACTCCATGTGCTCTGAGCGATGGCCCTGCAGGGGTACAGAAGGGCTCCCCTCTCATAGCTAAGCTGAACGGTGGGACATGCTTACCGTGTCCAGGCACAAATCAGGAAGGCTCAACCACTTAAGCAGCTAGATCCTGAGCAGCACAGTATTAGGGGCGATCAAATGCCCAGTGAGAGCCCCGACTCAGGGGGCAGGGGTTGGGGGAGAGCACAGATAGATATCTGAGCGATTCTCCGATTTACATGGGTATCAATCTGAAGTGACTCCTTTATAGTCAACGGAGCTGCACTGGATTAGCCCCAGCATTAGCACCTGGAGAATCAGGTCCCCTAGGCTGGGAGGAACCCAGTGCTAGGACAATCATGTCTGAGAGCTATGGGACACTGGTGCCATCTGAGTGATCCCCCACCCAGGGGAAGTGGGTTGTGGCTCTCTGCCGATGGTGTCACACAGCGTGAGACCACCCCCTAGGTTGGTTATGCCCTCAGTGTTCAGCTTTCCCTAAAACTGGAGGTGTTGCAGCACCTTGAATGGAGAGAGATCAGACTTCTATTGTTTCCCTGTCAATGAAAACACCACCCTCACCCTTTATAGGGTTAACACGCTTCCCTGCAGCGTGAAGAACCCAAATCCAAGGGGAACTAGCTAGTTTGTGAGAGCCCGAAAGCTGAGAGTGGCTAACCTCCAAAACAATGGGTACACTCGCCCCTCCACACACACAGCTTTGGGGGCTGAAGGGGAAGGGAAAATGGAACTCAGAAGGGAACCGCCTTCAGTTTGAGAATCACAAAGCAAACTCCTGCTGAAGGAGGTTTTGCAAACCCAGGGTGTCGTCACTGCAGAGTTAACTCTGATGTTATCCCCAAGCCCTCTCCTATCCACACAAAATCCTGTCGCCCAAGTGGGTCTATCTTCACTGCAGTTAACCCAGGCTCTTATCCAAGTTTTAGCTCAAACCTCTCCCCACCAACCCCCTCTGACCTGGGTTTGGAGACGCTCTAAGCCCAGGCTAGCTGACCAGGATGGGGCTGAGTTAGCCCCGGGCTCTAGTTTAACCCAGGGGTTAACTCCGGCCACACCACTTGAGTGCTGATTGTCCTCCAGTGTTTTCCCCACAATTCCCCCCAGGTGCCCAGAAGGACAGACAAATTCTTTCCACGGCTGGCTGGCAAAGAATCCTAGAGCAGCCCAGCTTACTGCACACAAAGAACCAAGGGATCTTCCTCCCCGAGAAGTCCTAGCAACACACACAGGAGTGCAGCACCACCAGTGAGGACCCATTAACGGGGGCTCGGCTGCTGCTCACACCAGGGCTAGATTAGCAATTCTGCAGTGCAGCCAGACCCCAACAGCACAGCTGGGTTTTGTCTCTTGCTGCTGCCAAGCTAAACCAAAGTAGTAGCAGAAAGTGAAACTGATCAGCTTAGTTTCCTTGTGTGTGTGTGTGTAACTGTGACTCCTGCTCCCTGCCCGTGTGACAGGGCTGTTAGCCCTCACCAGCCTGAGCCAGCACACGCCTGAAAAGGCAACAAAAGTCAAAATGGCACCAGCCACAAAAACTAAAATGAAGGTTGGGGGTTTCGATTTTGATGCTTTCCATTTTAATCCTCAAAGGGGTTTGTCGTGACCCAGAGAAGGAAACATCGGGCCAGATGCTGATCTCAGTTAAACCAGCATAAATCCGGAGTAATTCCATTGACTTCAGTGGAGTTACTCCAGATTTACATGGATGGAAATGAGATCAGAATCTGATTTTGTTACCATACGCAGGGGCCAGAGGCTGATTTACCCAGTGTAAATCCAGAGCAACTCCATCAGTGTCTCTCTGGTTTTACCCCAGAGGAACTGACAGCAGATTCTGGTCCTCAGTTTTTTCTTGGCAACCTCCCTTTCAAATAGAACAGTGCCAACCAAACCAATGACCTGTTGTGGCAGGGGAGAGCGAGGACTCTGGGGCAGTGAATGCAAAGGGGTTTCCTTTATTACGGCGGCTGGATGCAGACAGACACCGCGATTCTCTCTCACTCCAAGACCTGCTCGACAGCCTGCGTTCCGCAGTGTCAACCTTTCTACGCTCCACCTGCCCCCCCACACACCAGCCTTGCCGCCCCCCTCCAGAACCTCTGGATGTTGTGTTTGCAAGAAGCCTGGACACCAGCGCAGGCGTGAAACCCCAGGCCCGTCTCCCCGAGGTGAGAGACGCCGCCCGCCGCGATGACATGTGCCTCCTTCCCGAAAACATTTCTCTCTGCTGCAATCACCAGCTTCCCAGCGCCTCTGGAGCTTAGCAGCAGGGCGGGGAGTGTGCGTGCAAACTCGGGAAGGGGTGAGAGCCTGTGAAAAGCAGCGTCAGCTGTTTCCCCAGTTTTGGCTGGAACCGTTTTCTTTCTTTCCATGGTACTTCTTTTACAATCCCTCTTCCCTGTCCTTTCACAAGAGGGAGCCATTCCCTTACCGGAGTGCTGTTTTGGCAGAACTGGCTTGGGACGGGCTGCTGGTACCTCAGGTGTCAGAGGCAGCTCCTTCATCGCCTGGGCTCCTGGAACGAATACAGTAGCAAGATAAGCCATCTGGGGAGCAACCAGCGAAGGTCAGGGCGGCTGGCGCGCCGTCTGCAGAGCACAAATCCTGTCCCTCCCCAGCCCTGCCGGCCCCGGCCATTTCAGCCCAGTTCAGCCCCTGTCTGCTACCCCAACGCCCGATCGCTCTTGCTGCCCTCTGATGGCCCTTTGGTGGGGTGAGGTTGGCAGCTCTTGGTCCTGTTGCAAATAAGACAGGTGTCCCCGCCGGGGAAAAATCTCCTCCTGCCGCAGCTGGCTCTGCTAATCCCCCTTTGTCTTCAGCCACAGCAGAGCAGCCAAGGACTGAACGGGGCCTGGAGATCGGCTGCCTCTCTCAGCCCTAGACCGATGCCACCAGGTCAGGATACAGCCCCATTGGGCCAGATTCCTCATTCCCTCATGCTGCCACGGCGGTCTAGTAGCTAGGCCTGGGGGGTTGGGACTCAGGAGACCTGTGCTCTGGTCCGAGTTCTGGCAGGGCCCTCAGGGCAACTCTGTGTCTCAGTTTCCCCTCCCATCCTTTACCTCCTCTATTTAGACAGTAAGTAATGGGGGGGCAGAGGCTGCTTCTCGCTATAGGTACATATAATTCCCTGCATCGTGGGCCCCTGATCACTCTGAGGCCTCTAGGTACCTCTGTAATAGATGGAAATCACAGAACGCAGGGAGGACCCTCTGCAGCTGCTACCCTCCCTTCCTTCAGATGCCTCCGCAACCATGCGGCCTATCAGAAACCAGCCAATTGGCGACGGCTGGAGGGGCAAACTGGGACAGCTGGTGCTCTGGCTGTTGCTAATTGCAAAGGTATCGATGTCTATAAGATTGTATCTGTCTGATTATATCCTTCTCTCCCCCTTTCCCCCCGACTTCATTCCTGACTTGTCTACTTAGACTGTAAGTTTGCTGGGAGTTAGGACAGGTGCCAAGTCTTCCCAAGTGTTTGTGCAGGGCCTCGCCGCCTGGGGCCCCGATCCTGACCAGGGCTTTTAACTGCTACTGGGACACAAATCTGAAATGGACACTCAGATGCTCGGGGAGGGGCACATGACAGATTCCTACACAGATTTCACTACCTTTGTGTTGCCAGCACTCTGTGCATATGGGGAACCCAGGACTGGAAGGGAAGGGTGCTGCAGGGCAGGACTGAGGGGGCATTGGCAGAGCTGTGGCGGGGGGAGCCCAAGGCTGGGATAGAGGGGGATGTGCGTCAGAACTGAGCAGCATCAATGGATCTGTGGCGTGGGGTGGGAGCCCAGGACTATAAAAGAAAAAAAGAACTTGACTCTAACCCGAACCAGCCTTTCCCAGCTCTCGCTGCCCAGAGCGGAAGGGAGCTGAGATGCCAAAGTGCCAAGATAAACGTCCCCACCGTGACCCGGGTCCATTCTGGATGAGGAAGCTCAATGATTCCCACCCCCCACCGAATTTAACTGGGAGGGGGGGAGAATCTCGCCATCCCCGGACGGTGCAGGGAAAGCAGGTGGGTGGGTTGGGGTGGGTGTGTGTCTCTGATTGAATGCCAAGGCACCAGGCTCACCGCTCCTTCGTGCCAAGCAACAGTGATGGTTTCCTAGGTGACTGACGGCTCATTGTACCAGGGAGGGAGCGTATGCGTGGAGGCAGTGGGGAATATTTACAGGTTTCTCCCTAGCAGCAAAGGCGCTAAATGAAGGGATATTTTAGTATGCGCAGCGGGTCCCCAGCGAGTGGGATCTGAGGAAGGCGGGGGGGGACAGGGGAGAATAGCGAGGCCTTTAAATAGAATCCTGCTACGCTGGCAGGCCTCCCACCTGCTTCCAAACTCCTTGACCTCCAGACTCGGATCCAGGGAAAACTGCCCTGGACTAAAGCAAATCCCCTTCCCCCAGGTCGCTTCCTTCCAGGGCTCAGAGAGGTTAGAACCCCCAGCCCACCCCCTGCTTCCCACAAATGGCCAAGAAAGCCCCATCTGCCCTCTGCGCTCCTGAGTTCCACCCCAGGGCCTTTGACCAGCTTATTCTGAGCTTCTTCCCCCAGTTCTGATTGGGTAGCATCACTGAGCCACTTTGCACTGGTGTCACTGACTGCACCGGGGGGCACGGCGCAGGGTTCCCACCCATCTTGCCACCGCAGCTGGAGTCTGTGTGGTGCTCGTCCCCGGGATATCTCAGAACCTAGGGAACCCAAACAGCTGAGCCCTGCACAGGGATCCAGTGCACCAGGGCACTGTGCTTGGAAACCTCCTTCTCTCAAACAGGAATCTCAGCACAGCAAGGCCAGCAAGATGCCCTGGGAAATGCCCAGCCATCCTTTGAGCTGGAGAATAGATGCAAACTCTCCTGGAGGGGCCAGCAAACAATGGCAGCCAGGACTGGGACGAGTCATCCCGGAGCTCCTGCTGAGTCTAAACCTGCAGGTAATTACCCCCGATGATTCATCCCGCTCTCTGGTTCAGGGACGGCTCCTCAGCCTTCACGAGGCACCTCAGGGATGGACTCAGCACAGGGAGGAAAGCAGCGATTCCCATCACTGTGATACCGAATGGGACGACCCTTCTAGCTAGAGAGCTGTGATTTGTGCTGGCATCTATCACTGTCCCCACATGGAGAAACTGAGGCACCGAGCGGCTCCCCAGGGTCAGCCGGAAAGCATCTCTCCTGAGTCCAAGCCTAGCAGTGACAGGAGTGCAGCAGCAGCCGCCAGCCATTGGCTACGTCTGTTGGCTGCATTATTTGCAAAGGACCATTCACCCGGGGCTGTTTGAAACACAGCGCCAACCTTACGGGATCCAGGACTAGACGCCCGTCTCCCTGGCTCCCAGGCCTGTCCTCGTAGGACATGATCACGCTGCTTCGCACGCTCTGGGCTCCCCTCCTTTGGGAAGATCTAACGACCTGAGCGTCCCTCTCTGGCTTTCCATTACCCCTCTTCCCGGACAATGGCACCGCTGTGTTACACTGCTGTGTGGCAAGGTGCAGTACCGACTGCTGCCACTGGGGGCATCAAGCTTCTCCCGGCCTGGGAGGCTGCAGGACACCTAGCTGCCCCTAAGGGGAACCTGGTGGGGCCGACTCGAGGGACGCCTGGCTGCCTGCACACGCCCCTGCAGCCCTACAGCACTTGCTCTGGGCACCAGCTGCTCCTGCCCCTCGCCTCCCCCAAAGTGGCTGGTTATGCCGCATTTCTCTTACCAGGAACGACGCTGCTCTCCAGTTCACACGGGCCGGGGATCTCGGAGTCAATGTCGTCTGGGTCACATGACTTGTCGTCCTCGGCCTCCCCTTCGGAGCTGTCCTCCTGCTCGGCAGCATCCTCGTCCTCCAGGCCGCTGCTGGCCTCCAGGTGCGACTGCACTATGCGCTGCATGGCTGGAATGCACAAGGAGGGAAGAAGAGCCAAGTCGTGCCAGTGGGAGCCGGGTCCAGCCAGTGCAGGTTCCAGGCGACCCAGCCCCTGTTGTCTCCAGCACCAGAGTGCAGAGGGATCCGAGAGACGGGAGCCACACCCCACTAGCGATCTCTCTGTGTGTATTGTACTGTAGGATCTCAAAGCTCTTCACAAACACCAGATCACATTCACAGCCTCCCTCACAGCAGATCAGTGCTATCCCTGCTGCACAGATGGGGGAAACTGAGGCACAGAGCGAGGCAGTCACTTACCTGAGCTCAAACCCAGTCAGTGGCTAGAGCTGGAACAGAACCTAGGAGTCCTGGCTCCCAGTCCTGTCTTCTAACTACTTCACCTTTCTCTCGGTACTCCATACAGACCTAATTCTTCTTTCACTCACATCAGTTTTATGCCCAAGTTTACACACTGATTTCAGAGGAGTTAATCCTGATTTCACTTGCTGAGAGAATGTTACCAAGTCCGGTATCTATAAAGGACATTACCAGTGTATCCTGGTACAGTAACACCACCTGTGAACCTAAAGTTTGTTCCCCAACCAGCTTTGCCCCCTCCATCACCCGTGCACGCTGGCTGGCTTGTTATAGGGTTGCTTGTAAGGGCTGCGCCATGTGACCACTGCTTGGCTGTTGTGGGTGGCTACGAATCGCAGGACCACGTGCACTGGCTTGTCATTGCAGGGCAGTTCCCCGAGTCGTAGGCTTAACAGGTGCTGACAGCACCTTCAGAGACGAGTCAGTGCCTGACCTCCCTGCGCTCTGGGTATGTTTGCGGAGCTGCTTTCTGGACGCCCCGGTTTCTCCTCTGACTAGCGGACCCAGGGGAGTCGGCAGACTCCTCCTGGGAGCAGAGAGGCCTGGTTGCATGGTAGAGACCCACCAGCCCTGCACAAATCAGCCCTCTGCTAAAACAATCTGCACGTCTGCCTGTCAACCTGGCCATGGCAAAGCTCTGGGTACGCAGGCTCAGTGCAGAACACAGGGCAGCCCTACAACAACAAATGTCAGTGCCTGGGTACACTCAGCGCCCCTCCCCCCCCATGTGCATTTGCTCCGGACGGACGCGTCTAGCATGCTAACGGACCGACCAGTGGAGTGGAGACACGCAGCTTCAGAATAACAATGCAGCCTGCAACGCTGCAGCCCCAGCTTCCTGCGACCTTCCCCCAGCCTGCCTGGGGATCGTATGAAAGCTCAGAGGTCGGATGGCTACAGTGCGTTTACTGCGTTTAAAAAACCCGCAGCAGCACCCAGTCTCAGCCTGGGTCAGCTGATCTGGGCTTGCAGGGCTCGGGCTCCAAGCCTATCCAACTGCAGTGGAGACCTTTGGTTTCTGTCTGGAGCCTGGGCGATGAGACCCCCGGTGGAGACATACCCCAAGTGCCCCCCTTGAAGAGCTCCACAGTATCTCATGAAGCATCAAAGGAGCCAGAGTGGAAAACCTGGCCAGGAAGTGAAGTGGGGAAGCCCCAAGGAACTTAATAGGGCCCCAGCTCCCACCAGGATGATTGTCCTGTCAGCAGATCACGCTGCCTCTCACACCCTGGTTTGCAAGAGGAATTAGCTTCCGGGCCAGTGACACAGACAAGGCACATGGGGCAAAGCCCTCCCTCCCTCAAATGAATCCGGCGCTGCCTCAGCGCTTTGATCACTGGACACGCTGACCGGGTCCGGGTCTTCCTCCGCCTCCTCCCCTTCACCACCACGGGATGAAGTGGGGACCATCCTACCCGCCTGCCCTTGGTGCGATAACGGAGGCGGCGCAGAAGGGTTCCAAGCCGCGTGGCAGCCTTCAGGAAATCTGGCTTCTCGTGGGATCTAGTGCCACTGTCCACGAGCTTCCCAGCCCGGGGAGTTTGCGGCTGGGTGACCCTAGGCTAGAGAGCGCCGTACTGCGCTGGGTAATGTTCACACGGCAGCTGGGAACCAGCCTCCTGGCCCGGGCAGACAGCCTCGCGGCTCTTCCGGCTCAGGCAGGTGCCTGGGCTTCTGAGCCCACCCCCTCGGCGAGAGAACCCGAGCCGGAATGGCCACGCTGCTAGCAGGGGTCTGCTTACGTGCCCTGGGCGATTCGCTCCCAGCTGCAGCGAAGACAAATCCTCTGCGGCCTGCTCCTCATCACACCCTCCCAAGAAACCCTGCTGCTTTAGCAGCGACCTTGAGATGGTCCGAACAGCATGGCATTTCCACCCCCTCCGAGCCAGCACCTGCTCTCTCGGGCCGGAGATCGCCACTGACTTGACAATCTGGCCATGGGGTCACAGTGTGGGGCCGAGTCCTTACTGAGATGCTTCAGTGCAAGCTGAGCTAAGCTGAAAATCTGGTCCCAGTTGGGGCTGCTGAGAACCCAGCAGGTGGGGAAAGCTGACCCAATTTTTTGGGGAAGCTGGGGAGGGGGCAGAACTTGCCACACAACCCAGGGCTCAGCTCAGATATGGGGCCTTTTGTTTAAAAAAAAAAAAAAAGGCAGTTTAAATGTATATTTCAGGGATGAAAAATAAATGGATTAGGGCTAGATGCAGCAGAGTGGGCGTGCTGGGTCACTGGCAGGAAGTGGAGGTGGCTATAAACACCACCACGGAATAAGCCACTGTCAACAGTGAACCATTGTCTCCGTCTCTCGGATTGGTTTTGTTTCCCCGAACAAGGCTGGTCACATTCCTTGCTGAGGACTACATCCCTGCCAAGGCTGAAGAACAAGGAAACATTTGCTTTGTGTGAGCTAAGAGCTGGGTACAAAGGACTGGAAAGAGTTGATTACGGGCACTCAGAAACAGCAGTCTGAAATGCAAGTGCTGTGGCAGCTTTGAGCCGAGGGGAAATATGGATTTGGGGATAAAATGGGGGACAGGGAGGCAGGACTCCTGGGGTCTCTTCCTGGCTGTTGATTACAGCAGGAGGCAAGGGAGTCAGGTTTCTTGGTTTGTAACTGCAGGAGGAAGTGGGGTACATTGGTTAAAGCAGGGCCCTCCTGGCAGTCAGGACTGCTGAGTTCTGTTCCTGGCAGGGAGAGGGAATACAGTCTAGTGGTTGGATCACAGGGTTGGGGGCCCCAACTGGCTTCTATTTCTGAGAGGGAATATGGTTCAGTGGTTAGAGCAGGGGCCTGGGTTCTATCCTTGGCTGGTCAGTGTAGGCGTCTCAACCCCCTGACTCTACTGCTCAATTTAGGGCTGATTTATTTGGAAACTTGATCCTAGGAACTGAGGCAGGGGAACCAGGAGGCCAAATCCCAGCTGGACCTGGGCAGGGTGCGACCTAAAGCCATTGTCCCTTTAACACACGGGTTAGCTTGTTCCAACAGTAAAGCAGGACTGATCGCAGGGGGAATAGGGGGCTGGGCCCAGCTGCCCTCCCGCCCCAGATTAGAGGAGTGGGAGGCTGTGCCAGAGAGCCCCACGGGCCACACTTCGGCCTCCACTGGCTCCGAGGCAGCGAACTCGGCAGGCCAGCCCAGCGGCCTGAGCTGCCGCCAATGCACTGAAGGGGAGTGGGGGAGGTTGGGAGAGGAGCCAGAGAACTTAGTGATAAGCTCAGTGGGAGAGATAAGAGTGATGGCAAAGGGAGGTGGGGGGAGAGCACCCTCCTCCAGCCTTGATGGCAGCACAAAGGAGCCTGCCGGGAGCTCCCCCTCCGGCCGGCCTTGGAACCAGCCAGTGCCGGCATGGGAGCAGAGAGGCAGGAGCAAAGCCAGCGCGGGCGGATCGGTGGCCGGAGGGCCAGCGATCAGCATGGCAGCTGCTCGGGGCTCCCCGACGCTGGCTGGGATGCCCCAAGGCCAGTCGGGGACAGACCATCACAGCACCTGCTGTACTAAGGGCTGGGCCGTATTGACCCTCTCTTCATTCCACTGACCCCTGGGCCCTGATTCACCCCAGCGCTGGCATGGAGTGTGGCCTGGGGACCGAAGGGAGAGGGTGATGTGCCTCTCTAGTCCTGGAACCTGCTCTGGCCCTGGACAGAGTTAGAGGGGCTTTGAGCCCCCATGTACAATGGGCATTGGAGCCGCCCAGGGGAGCAGGGCATGGGAACACCCTGGCCATCCCTCCTCCTGCCCCTGGCCACCCCGTCCTGCTCCCAGAACTGGCTGTGGAAAGGGGATGATTCATGGGGCACGGGGCTTACAGATCAAAGGGGCCATAGGAAGCTGAAGAATTGGCCCTTGGGTGGGTCATTTTAAAGGCACAAGGGTGTAAATCTTCTAGGGGGGAGGTGTACAAGTCCCTGGGCTCAGCACAGGGGTAACTGGGTGAAATTTACAAGGGGTCAGACTACACGAGCCAATTGTCCCTTCTCGCCTTCAACTCTGATGAATCCTATGACTCTTTGAGTCCATCTGCACAGCAGTAAAAGACCCATGGCACGGCCATGGCTGGCCCAGGTCAGCTGACACAGGCTTGGGCTGCAGGGCTATAAAACTGCCATGCGGGGAGGGTCCCAGAGTCTGGGCTTCGGCCCAAGCCTGCAAGTCCACATTGCTATTTTCAGCCCTGCAGCCTGACCTCTGTGAGTCAGCTGACCGGGACTCAGACTGCAGTGTAGACGTGCCCCATGGCACATACAGCATGGGGCATTTAAGTCCCAGAGAAATCTTGGGTGTGAGGGACTTGGTCCCGGCCTCAGTGGATTTCACCATGTGGAGCTGAAACAAAGCAAGATCCAGGGCTAGATCCTCCGCTGGTGTAAATGGGCACCCCTGCGCCGGAGCCGTACTGGTTCACACTAGCTGAGGGTCCAAGCCCAAGGCACTTTGGGGTTTTTCTAAGTTGTGTGGCCTTTGCTGGCCCAGGATCATCCAGGCTGGGCCTTTCTCTACCCAGTGCTCCCTCTGGGATGCCCGTTTTGGGAGCGATATTGACCCAGGGCCTGATTTCCCCCTCGCTTCCCCCTAATCACAGCCCCCTCTATAGCCCCATGGGCCTCGGCTCCAGCTGAGGGAGCAGGTAACGCAGCCCCCCCAGCACCATCTGGGTCCTTCCCTCTCTCGCTGCCATGCGGGAGGCAACGTGCCTTCAGAGGCAGCAAGGGAACAAAGCAGGGGGCTGGGAGGGAACACGGGGGAGGAAGAGCAGAGCCTGAGTCCTGGCAGATTTCACAGAACCCGAGATGTGATAGAGACAGGTGAGAACAATAGGTGCATGCAGATGAAGTGGGAGCAAGCGGCTGATGGGAAATTGCTATGTACAGTACAGAGCGTGTGTGCACATATGTGCGGGTTTGATGCAGTGCATGTGTGTGTGCGAGAGCGAGACAGCGTGTGCGCGCGTATGTATGTGCAGGAGTGAAACAGTGTGATTGTGTAAGTGTGAGAGAGGGAGCGGGAGAAGTAGCAGAGCAAGAAACGTTGCCTAAATCCACTCCTCATCCCCACTATTCACCATTCATATCCCCGCTCCGGGCCTCAGTTTCCCCATCTGTAACATGGGAGTGGCTGCATTTGCCCACCCTGCGGGGGTGGGGGTGAGCCTGAACTCCAGGAGGTCTGCCCTGTGCACTGAGATCACAGGGACGGCAGTCAGAAGGGGCGAGCTAGGCAGAGTGATGACCCTCTCTCTGCAGCTCACCCCCTGCTGTGGCAGCCCCTTCGCCACGCACCCTGCAATGAGGTCCCTGCGTGGCAGTGAACTCTTAAATACCTGGCAGCGTCTGCAGCGCAGACAGATTGTCGAACGCACACACGGCGTCAAATTAGGGCTTTAAATAGATCATGTCAGTGAACACGCTGGGCCTGATTCATGTCGCTTTGACACTGGTGTAACTCCACCCGCTCCAGGCAGGTCGCTCCTGATTTACACTGGGAGGGGGAGAGAGTGGAGAACCGGGCCCTTTGATTTTGCCATTGAGGCTCGTTAAGATCAAAAGGTGCTAATGAGAGATTTGAGTTTGGTGTGGGGTTGGTTCATTACACCCTTCCACCTGGCAACATCTGACAGCTCAGATAAGGACACTTGCTGAAAAAAACAGGGCCATGCCCGTTAACTCCACTGAAATCAGACAGAAGAAGTAATTTGCTCTGTGTTTGTACAGAGCCTAGCGCGACGGGGCTCAATCTGGTTGGCCTCTACAAGCTCCTGTAATATAATAATGAGAAAGAACCTGGGAGGGAGCAAGAGACCTTCACCTCGGCAGAGAGGGTCCTTCCCAAACCTCACGTACCATCTAAGTCCCATTTAAAGATCTCAAAATAAGGCTTAAGTGGGACATCAGCAATGCACAAAATATATGCTGGCCCATTCCTCAAAAGATCATTCTTTCGCTGATGAGGACAGCTTGGCCATAGGCAAACCTATGAGAAAACCACAGCTCTTTAACCCGCAAGATCAGACCATATAATTGTCAGAATCGTAGAGGGAACACATTCTGGGTTTAAATCTCTGTCTTTTTTTTAACACAACGCCTCCATAAAGAGGGAGCCAGGACTAGTGGAGTGAACAAGAGTCTGGCCGCCAGGATCTTCCTATTCTAAGCCCAGCTGAGCCACAGATTTGCTGTGTGGCCCTAGTGCAAGTCACTGCGCCTCTCTGTGCCTCAGTTTCCCTACCTGTAGAACAGGGATGGAATTATTTTGCTCCCTCTTCAGGCTGCTGCTGGGCTTATTTGATCTCTGTAGAGCTTTTAGCATTTTTAAAGTGCTGCACAATTACCACCCCTCAGCTCTGAGGCATTTAAAATAAAACTGACTGGCTATTTTTAATGGGATATAGAGGAGGGGAAAAAAAACCCCAAACAGTGTGCCGGCTCCCCCTGCTAGCCCGGCTCTGCAGCAGCAGTTGAAGCCCCAAAGTTATTATCCAAAGGATTTTGTGGCCTTTAAGGATTTTAATTTTTCCCTTGTAGCTTTTGGAAACCTAACCTCACTGCAGGGAAATGTGAAACTGGCTAGAAGCAGGAAGTGAAACTGACCAAGATGCGCTGTGCCAAGCCCATGGAAGACCAATAAGGTGTCCATCAACAAGGAGGTGCGTGAATGAGGATGAAACACGCAGCTGTGTAGAGGACAATAAGAAGGCCACGCATCCCTAGGGGATGAAGCAGGACTTGACTGATACAGTGACATTGTGGGTGAAGTGGGACATACGTGATGCATGGACTTTGCACTCTCCCTCGGCGCGGGGTGAATTTCACTGCTGCTCCCAAGCTTTCTTTTTGCAAGGGATGACATGAAAGTACACGTACCTTTAAGAGAGGGAGGTGTGTAGACACACGGGTTGGTCCTCTTTGTTTTAAGCAGGTGGCCCTCTCCCAGCGTTCTCTGGAAGGGAGGAGAATGGATTGTCAACAGCACCAGAGCAGAGCAATCAAGAGAGTCTCCAGTTAACATGGGTCTATGAATCAAGGGCCAACCTCAGGGCTGGGACAGCAAGTCGAGCAGCCCCCCAGGTGACCCAGCCAAAGAGGCCCCAGCTCTGCCGCCTTCCCCCGCTCATCATGGGGAGAACCCACGTGCGCTGCCTGGTGCCCCTCTCTTGGCAGGGACAAAGGCTGCCTGGGAGACCTTGGATGATGGTTGTTAAGCACAGAGGCCCCAGGTGGGGTGGCGCGGTGGGGAGCAGGGGCAAAGTGCAGGGAATCCGAAGCAAACCTTGGGCACTGAGCAGAGCAAACAAACTTTTGAACAATGTGGAGCGAGGATTTCCACGCCACTTTGCGAATGGCTCACTCACCCCTTGGCCCTGGGCCTCACGTTAAAAACAAAGCCCTGGGCCCAGATTCGAGGCTGGTGAAAAACACGGGCTCCACCAGCCTAGACACTGAGGTCCAGGTCTTTAAAGACTGCAGAGGTGTTAGTTGCCCACTTCATGCTGAATGGCTTCTTGCAACATGTATTAACTCCTTGTGCTTAACAGCCTGTGAGTACCTTCCCCGGGCCTGAAGGAGAGCTCAGGGTGGCTTGAAAGCTCCTCTCTCACCAACAGAAGCTGGTCCAACAAAAGATATTCCCTCCCCCACCTCGTCTCTCATATCCTGGGACTGATACAGTGACAACACTGCCCAGGTATTTCACTATCCCTTAAAGCACTGGGAGTTTGGCACCTAAACGTCTCTGAGGAGCTGAGTGCCTCTCTGCAGAGAACAGGGACAGTGCGGTCAGAGGTACCACAAGCTCCACCACCCACCACACTGCCAATGTGCGTCAGTCCGGAGCAGAGTTCTGCTCGCTCCCGGAAGCAACTGGCTCCTTACTCCACCTGGGTGGGAGAGAAGTGGGGCTTTCTGGAGAGAGAGGATCTAGAGGGCGGGCTGAGAATTCCTGGAGGAGGAGCCCTAGGAGCGGCCAGCCCTGAGGAAAAGGGGTTTGAACTGAACTTTGCTTCACTGTCAATTCCCCAAACTCCAAGGAGTGGGGACGGTGGTCAGGGGGTTGGGGGGAGGCCGGGGGAGTTTGGATTCTAACTCATGTGACAGGTTTCAGAGTAGTAGCCGTGTTAGTCTGTATTCGCAAAAAGGAAAGGAGTACTTGTGGCACCTTAGAGACTAACAAATTTATTTGAACATAAGCTGTCGTGAGCTACAGCTTACTAAAGCTTATGCTCAAATAAATTTGTTAGTCTCTAAGGTGCCACAAGTACTCCTTAACTCATGTGAGTGGACTGTGTCTGAGAGCAGGTTGTGGGATGCCCTCCTCAGACAGGCCACTTTGTGCCCCTTGCTAGGTGGAGCTGGGCTGAGGCCAAGAGCATTCATGTCACATAAGTTGTCAAACAGCCATCGGATGGTTACAAGTTTCATTCACTGTCACCGAGCTGGGGCAGGATTTGAACTGGCCACACGGAGGTGAAAGGTTCCATATGGCACTGTCCATGGCCGCCAGCAAGGGGCTGGTTTTGTTAGTACACTGCAAGGTGGTGAAAGTCCACGGCAATTACGAGATAAGTCGCAAATCCGCTACAGTAACAAACTGCGAGTTCTCTGCATCGTGGGGGGCGGGAGGGGGCTTGAAGAGCGGCCAAACCCTTAACCAGTTCCTAAGCTTCAGATTCCTGGCTCCTGTTCACTTCATCCTCCATTACAGCTTAGCACTTTGCGTGCGTTAAGGAATTTAATTTCACTCGAGATCAAGGAGAAGTCATGGAAAATGTGGGCAGAGATAATCTCTCGCTGCGAGCTCCTGGAGCGTGGGGATTGAGCCGGGCTTTGCGGCAGCTCAAGTTGTTTGGGAACTTCCAAGGTAACTTTGCACGGCGCAGTCTATCACTGTCATGCTGGCCTCACAAGAGCGAGGAAAAGGCCCAAGGCCGTGCACCGGGGGCGCCCTGACGTTTTCTCCCTTCATCAATGCTGAGTAACTGCGGTGACTTGCAGCGCTCCTGAAAGGTCGCCACCGACAGCAGCAGCTACGCACGACCAGCGCAAGCTTCCCCTGCCAATGCCCCTCCACCCTGACCCATGGTCCCCCCCGGTTCCAGTCCACAGCTCTGCCAATGCCCCACAGGCCTGACTGTGCCCTCTACGTCTCCCATGCCCCGACCCGCACGCCCAAGCTTGCCAGCTGCTGTGGGGAAGAGGGCAGTGCCAGGGTAGCAGGTTTTTCCACCAGAGGGTGAACTGGGAGGAGTCTCTCTGGAGACAGGCCATGCCCCCGAGGCCGTGTTTGTGCCTATTCTCAGCCAGTTGCACCACTCAGGAGGAAGGGGTCTTTGTAGCATCCGTGTTGCCACCACCTCCACCCTCCCAACTGACTGGGGCTGCCGACACCGGTCAGAGCCTGGGCTGATCGTTTTACTGCGTCTCCATTCAGCCAGCCCATCCTCCCTGCTCCCTCCGGGCAGGGCCCCATCACTGACCTGGTATGGGGAATAATCCTCTTCTGCAGGAGGGAGAGGGCGGGAGAGAGGAGGGAAGAAGAAAAAGACAATCAGGGCACAAGCCAGGGCAGCAGGACGACAGCAGGGGGCACCCGCTCCTGGTCAGAGAGGGGCCCAGGTCCCTGGGTGCTTGGGGCCAGAGCTGCTAAGAATGGAAGGCAAATGCCACTTTGGTTCGGGGCCCAAAGGCCAGGCCAGAGCTGCCCCCCACCCTTTGCCCTGCTTCCTCTGGGCAGGGAACTCCCCTGCCCGGTGGGAATTGCCCCATGCCAGCCTCAAGCAAGGCTGCAGCGAGATCGCCAGGCAGGGAGGTGCCAAAATGGGAAGAGTCATCTGCCAGCACCACCATGGAGCTTCCCAAAGGCTGCGGCACCAGGCCATAGCAGCCCAGAGCCAGACCCACTCTGCTGGGCACCGAGAGCTACCTCGGGCATCCCTCGAGGCCTCTTAATCTGGGATTTGCCCTCCAGGCTGGGAGGGAAGGGGGATCCCCTGGGACCAGGAGGGGGCATTGGGGTGGGGCATCCTCAGGCTTTAATCCCAAACCCTCTTCTCACCAGGAAGGGGTCACCTGCCCTGCTGCCCCTCAGCTAGTTGGCGATGGCCACGAGATCTGCCCTCAGACCCAGCCATCACCAGCTGTGACCTGGCAATGGGTCTGGTTCCCCCTGCCCCGCAGCCCTCTCCTCCCCTCCAGAAAGGCCGATGAGGGCCCTGATGGTGGCTGAGCCCCTGCCTTTGTGGAAACCTCCCTCTGCCGTGTCCCCCTCAGTTGGGATGGAGGCCACGACCCCCTTCCAGAGCGGACTCACCTGGGGACGAGTGCTCCGACATCTGGAAGAGCATGGCGGGCGTGGGCCTCCGGCGGCGGATCTAAACCGGGGAGAACGGTTTGAGCATCTCTCTGTTGCCCCATGGGGGGTGGGGGTGAAGAGAGGCGATGGAGCCTTGCTCCCTTCCCCCACAACCTCGCTTCGTTCTGGCCCACAGGGAAGAGGTTTCCCCTTCCTCCACTACCCCCCTCACCCATCAGACCCATTGCTGTGGCCCCCAGGATATGGCACCGGGGGCCATGCAAGGCATGGCAGTGGGATGCTCAGCCAGGAAGCTCCCTCTGACATCCTTGGTGCTGACACCCATGAACACGGTAATGGTTAGGTCGCTGGGGCCCGGATATCACAGCCGACCATGCTGACCAATGCTGTCTCGTTGTTTCCTGGCGCTCCCCTATCTGAACCTATCTCTTGTGTTATGCTTCACTTGCCAGCTCCTTGGGGACAGAGATGATCTGTTTATTGTGTGTTTGCACAGCACCCAACGCAACAGGGTCCTGGACCAGGACTAGGCTTCCTGGGTGCTACGGTACTACAAATAATAAAATCCTGCGCCCCTCAAGTAACCCATCACCATCACGTGCCCTCTCCAGCCCTCCACTGGCCCTCTAACCCATCACCCTAAGCCAGACAACTTCTAGTCCACCACCTAGCTGTACCAAAAAGCTGCAGCCAAACCCTTACAATGTATGAATCATCACCGCCCTCTATTGGGCAGCATTGGACTTGCACATATATACCCTCTACAGGTTATAAGCCATGCAACAGCTACAGCCACTGGGGATTCCCCAAGGGTTAGGAGCAGGTTTCCAGCCCTGCCACACTGCCCTGGACATTGCATGTCCTCTGGGAGCCCTTTGAAGATCACAGGGCAGCCAGCTCTCACGATTTTCTCTCTCGACATTGGACAGCCCCGGCCCTTGGACTCACGAACATCTCCGATTTCATTTTTTAAAAATAAGGACGTTTGCAGCCCCTGTGGCTGCTGGGGAAAGCAGGGGAACGTGACGCAGGGGAAGTCTCAGAAACCGGCAGGCAAATAAAAAGAACCCCCAGTTTGTTTAGTTAAAAAAACAAACCATGATTTTTTAGCCTATCTTGTGATCTTTTGGGGGACTTTGACTTGTGGTTTTGGGATGCCTGGAGCTGGCCAGGCTGGCTGACAATCCTACCACCCTTGTTGGGGGGGGGGAAGTGCGAGAGAGAGAGAGAGAGAGAGAGAGTCTGACAGTGATCTAGTGTGTTCCTTTGCACAAGTGTGCATTGATTTTACATGAGTGTCTGGTGTGTAAGTTTGGGTGTTAGTATCTGTGTGTAAGTGACCTTGTGCGTGCGTGTGCATTGGCTTTATGGGGGAGTGGCTGAGTGGTGTGTGCCTTGGTATGTATCAGGGTGTAAGCGATCGTGTGTGAGAGGGGTGCTGTGTGTGTGTGTGGTGTATCGGTGTGTATGTACACGATCAAGCGTGGGTATGCGAGTGTGAGACAGGAGATGTAAGGGGCTCGGACCTGGGGATGTACCAAGGTCTCCGCATCCCCAGTTTATTAAGCAGGGACGCGTCTAAGCATAGGGACACCCTTGAGAGGAGTTGGTAGGAGAGGATCGGACGGGCAGCCCAGCGGGATGAAGGGAGAGAGACCGGCTCTCGCAGGGGCCAGGCTGGTGGCGCCGAGCACCTGGAGGAAGTGAGATCAAAGCTGAGTGCATCTTACAGGGGCCATTCTGGGGGGCACATGTGGGGCAGCATCAGGGCAAGCTGCTGGCAGCACCATGGTAGACCCATCCCTGGCCTGGCTGGCGCCCCCACTTGAAGGGAGGGGAAATCAGTCTCTCTAGCCCTTTGGCCTCCCTGTTGAGGCTGCTAACAAGGGGGCCAACTGGTGCTAAGGGTGCGATTTGTCACATGGACACAGGTCTGCCAGATGGAGGCCCCTAAACTCAGGTCACATGGGGCATCCGAAGTCCATGAGATGATAACGTGACAGGCCACTGGGAATGTAATTTCTCCTAGAACTCTGGGCGTAGTCTGGGGGGGGGCATTGCCCCCTGCACCAAACTGCAAGCCTTGGGCAGGTGCAGAATTTCCCCCATTCACGTGCTGCCCCATTGGCCTGACTGGAGCTCCCGCCCCCAAATATAGGAGTCAAACTACTCCCATGCCTAGAATGGAAACCAGGTTTCATTTTTGACCGATAACGCTGAGGTCACACTCCTCTTGAGTAACACGCCGGCTGGCGCAGGTACAGTTACGTGGCTGGAGGGGGGAGTATATTGGCTAGACGTGCAATTCACGAGGCTGACCCATGCTAGTGGAACCGGGTTCACTTGTGAAATTGCACCTGGCATCATAGGTGCTGGAACGAGGGGTGTGGGGAGTGGGGCGGGGGGCCGCCGCACCCCCTGGCTTGAAGCGGATTCCATTATATCCAGGCTTTACCGTTTGGTTCAGTGGTTCTCAGCACCCCCCACTCTACAAGTTATTCCAGCACCCTACCTGGCATGCACTGCCTGTAATCTCTCCTGACCCGGCTTGGCACTCTAAAGCCACCTCGCTCCGTCAGTCAGTAAGCAGGCCCCCCAAGACAGGGGGGGAAACTTTGAGCTGACACCCTCCCCACCCTTCTGATCTTGGTGGGGGGGACCCGGATCCAAGTCGCATCTGGATTCAGCAAATCCAGTCCTCAGTGCTGCCTGTCTGGAGGCACCGGGGCTTGACAAACACAACTTGTGCTCACCTGTGCAGCTGGGGCAGGTTTTTGCAGCCGGATTTAAGCCCACGCGGTGACGGACAAGCCCCCAAATGGCTGTTCTCACTCCAGGGGCATGGTTAGGCAAACAGCTCAGGTTCTGCCCTCCTGGCTGCTAAGGGACTAAGGTGCCTTTTATGAAATTCCATCCATTTAATGCCCAGATGCCTTAGACCGCTGACCGGCTCGAGGACAGTCCTGGCTCGGCACATTCTCCATAAATGGAGTTAGAGCTGAGCCGGGAAGGCATTGATGGGGGCATGGTGCTTTCAAGGCGATGTGCTCAGCCCTTGGCTAACCAGAGATCAGGTTCGGGGTCATTCTGTAGATAGGGTCTGATGCTCAACTGGTGTAAATCAGCCCCATTGAGGTCAGTATAGCCGCACTGATTCACACCAGCAGTGGATCCCGCCCGCTGCTCGTTGGCGTGTGAGTGTGAAGGATGCGTGTGTATGTGAGTGTGCGCTGAGCTTGGGTGTGCGGGGTGCGTACCTGAGTGGGCTTTGATTTTTTTATTATTTTTAGACAGAGTATGCCGTTCAGTATGCCGGTGTCCTGGATGATTGGGTGTGTGAGGGATGCAGCGTGCACACACCCCGGCATTTTAGTGAATGCACGGCTGTGCGTACGAACCTGGGGTGCACACAAGTGGCCTAGGGCGTGAGTTTGTTTGCACTGGTTTTGTGGGTGGGTGTGCAGGAGGGCTGGGAGTGTGCAAATGGCTAAGCGAGTGTGTGCAGGTGCGAGTGTACCTGAGTGGCTGGCTGACCACCTGAGTGAATTGTGTATCCTCACGTGTGTCTGGGTGTGTGTGTGACTGGACCTGTGAGTGAATGTCTCTGAGCCTGTTTGGTCGGGGGTGCGGGCGCGTACGTGACCCGAGCAAACAGGCGCCAGCCCTAGGACCCAGCATTGCTCCGCTGTGTAAACTCCCCCTGCCCCGGCGGCCCCCAATCCCAAACGAACCCGCCGACACGCTACCCTTACCATGTCCACTGCCCTGGGGTCCAGCTGGCTGGGGGGTGCCGGGACGGAGAACTGGATCTTCTTGCGGTCCTTGGGGTCCATCGCACCGTCGCTCTCTCCCACTTCCCAGGAGAGTCTCCAAGTCCACGTCTCTCTCTGCCCCCTGAACTGAACGCAGGGAGAACCGTGCAGCGTGGTCCCCCCCCTCTTCCAGGCCAGGCAGATACTGGCTTAGGCCAGCAGGGTCTCTCCCTCTGCTCCCCAGCAAGTGAGCCTGCGCCCCGTCCCCCAGCCGAGTTAGACAGCTCCTGAGCCCTGCTCCATCCCCGCTGCACAGTGAGTGGTGGAGACGGGAGGGGAGAGGCAGAGAGAGAGAAGAGGAGGAGAGAGGGAGGGAGGGGAGAGCTGAGCAACTACTGGCTCTCAGGAGTCTGCCTGAATTATTAATCTTCCTGGGCAGGGGGGGCAGAGGGCTAGCTTAATGAGCCCTTGCAGGGAGCCAACTGGCAGGGGGGCGGTTCAAACAAAGCCACCCACATCCAGTCTTAACCCTTTCACCGCCCAGCTGCGGAGATGCCCCCCAGAAACAAATGGATTCTGATGGGCAGCATTGCCCAGTGGGGCAACCAGGCTCTGGATGTTGTCCAGGAGATAAAGCAGCAGGCTGGGAGTCAGAAGACCTGGGTTTTATTCTGGTTCTGCCCCTGAGTTTAGGCAAGGCATTTAGCTGCCCCATGCCTCAGTTTCCCCAGCTGGACAGCAGGGGCAGTGATTAGCGCTGGTTGGGACTTGTTCAGTGAATTGTTTTGGCATCCCAAAAATGCAAGTTAGCGAGACAGGGTCAGGTGCAATGAATTTCCCAGCTTGAAAATAATGTCGAGGAAAAACAAACCAACCAAACGGTCAGTGTTTCAGAACGCTGACATTTTCCAATGACATTTTCTGTGCCATTTTTCCGGCACAGAACAACTTTTCAGTCCCAACTCTAAGCTGATGTTACTGAAAAGAAGTTTAAAGAAGAAAGGCTGAAATCTAAATCAAGCACTTCAACGTGATCAGAGTGAAAGTTTTTGATTGACCTGAAACAAGGGGAAAAACATCAAATCGTTTTTTCAGTTTGTGAATTCTTTTGAGGCTTCAACGTTTCAGCCCCATTTGAGATGGGAAAAGAATGTCAACCTCTCAAACTCATTCGCCACTGCCCCCCCAGCCCGCCACATGCTGCTATTGTAATTTGCTATGGGGAGCTATACTGGATGTGCATGGGTACCTAAGGCTGCTTTGGTCGTGCGTATGTATGGCGTATGCTCTTTGCATGTGTGCGCATTGGTTTTGTGTATGCATCAGTGTGTGTGTGTGCACACACCCATGTGCATCAGCTGAATGTGTGGGCATGGTGCGTTATGTTGTGTGCAGGTGTGGGTGAGCGCACTCTGAATGTGTACACATGAAAGCAGGCATTTTTTCTTCTGGCTGCAGGTGTGTTTGTGTCGGTTTTGTGTTTGTGGAGTAACACACACCTCATTCCAACAATCTCCTCCAGCAAGAGCCTGCTAATTTGGAAGCTGCTGCATTTCAAAGGGCAAGGTTAGTAGGTATAATGGATACAACACTGGGCAGGGACAGAGGAGACCTGGCTCGGTCACTGACGCTTTGTGTGACCTTAGCAAAGTCACTTATATCTCCCCAAGCCTCAATGCCCTATCTGCAAAATAGGGATAACATCTGTCTCACAAGGATATTGGGAGGGAAAAAAATCCATAAATGAGTATGCAGATCAGCTAAATATCTAATAGGACTGGTTTTCAGAACAAAAGGTCAAAAGACTGGAACTTACTTTGGAACGCAATGTTCCAAAAACCCTTGAGTCAGAAACGTCGACATGTTTCTGTTTCCCCATGATGCACGGAGGCCACTCAGAGGCAAGACCACGGTGCATCCTGGGAGATGCAGTCCAGCTAGGGAGCATGACCTACAGGGAAAATGGACGCATGAGGGACCTGCGACTACAACTCCCATGAGACACTGCAGTGGGCAGATGCAAAGATTAATGGAGACCCCATCCCCAGACTAACCATTTTGTGTTGATTTTCCTGCAGAAAATTCTCCCGAAATTGATCTTGCCCCTCAGAAAAAAAAAACCCTAGATTTTTGGACAAAACCCCCATTTTCTGATGGGAAAAATATTTCACTTGACATTTTTCCACCGGCCCTAGAATGCTGATAGCTAGAATCCACTGGTATCATGTGGAACAGATGCAGCTCCAACTTCCCCATTAAAACTTTGATTAAAACTTTCCATAGCTACACATCAAACCCACCCGGGGGACTTGGAGTTATTTAAGATCCTTTCATCTGAAGTCTTTAACATCGAAGCTGGATGTCTTTTCTAAAAGATTTGCTCTCATTCCACTGTGGGCTTGTTAGTGTCACTTATATGGCAGGGGAGAATAATTCTCCTCGTCGCAGCAATTGCTGAGTGGGAATCTCTGGTTGGTGTTACGCAGCAGGTCAGAGTAGAAGGTCACAGTGGTCCCTTCTGGCATTAAAAAAACCTTACAAATCTCTAGACACACAATTTTCAGAGGAACAGCCGTGTTAGTCTGTATTCGCAAAAAGAAAAGGAGTACTTGTAGCACCTTAGAGACTAACCAATTTATTTGAGCATGAGCACATCTGATGAAGTGAGCTGTAGCTCACGAAAGCTCATGCTCAAATAAATTGGTTAGTCTCTAAGGTGCCACAAGTACTCCTTTTCTTTAGACACACAATGTACATTATTATGTGTATTGTATTAGCATGTCACAGCCTCAGTCATGGACCAGGAGCCCGATGTGCCAGGGGCTGTACAAACACAGAACAAAAAGACCATCTTTGCCCCAAAATGCTTCCAGTCTGTATCTAAAGCCATTGGCTCAGTCTTCCTTAGCTCTCAACATTGCTTTGCCAGCAGTGTCTTTGCTCTCTCCAGAATGCCGGTCTTAAAACCTAGGGGCCCCCAGTCGGTGTAAATCAGCGCGACTCCATTGAATTTGTGGATTGCCACCAGCTGAGGATCTTACCCAATGAGCCTAGGACTGTGTATTAGCTGCAAAGAACAGGCTGTTCCTGCTGTCGCATGGTACAACTGAGAACGGGACGGCTCTGGCCCCAGGGGATGTAGGAGGAAGGGAAGGGCCTTGGAGGCTAACCTGTGATTTCAGGAGCTGCCAGTTGCAGAGGGGAAGCGGGGAGCGTGTGTGCAGCCAGCCAGTTCCACACACAGGGGCGTATGGGCTGCGGACCTGACTGCCAGGATCAGCAACACCGAAGGGGACATGCCCAGCTCATTCTGGAATGCGTTGACTCTGCCAGGCATTGCCCAAGCAAGCCGCTCACCCCCAATCTCTCTTCTAACCCGAGCCCTGCCAGCTTCCCACTGTCCTGCTGGTTTAGCCTGCAGCTTGAGGGCCCTTGGGGAGAGAAGGCAAACCCCAGAGCTGGTCGCACGCCGGGGTACAACCCCACCCGCTTGGGAGGGGCTGCCTGTAGAGATCCACAAAGCTACATCATCCTCCTTCAAACTTCCCCCAAATTTGACACCGGCTAGGCTGCTGCTGAGCTGAAATGCTGCCTGCCACACTGACCAAGGCTGTCGCACTGTTTTCTTGTACTCCCCCATAGGTCTGTTTGCCTCCATCAGGTGTCTCTTGCCTTGTACTTAGATTCTAAGCTCCTGGGGGCAACGACTGTCTTTCTTGTTCGGGGTTTACACAGCACCTAGCGCCCCATGGTCCTAGCCTGCCACTGCGGGCAACAGTGATGAAATAAGAAACAATGAGAGAACCAGTTTGCCTGATAATGCATCCAACAAGAATGGCACTGCCTGCGGGGTGCTCGGACAACAGCAGAGCCCAGGGGAATTGAGCTCCAGCGTTTTACTTTTCAATACAAAAATGACTTTTTTGGAAAAAACCCTCCCTGAAAATCTTATGAAAATTCTTGTTTTCATTTACATTTTTCAAGTTTTCATTGGCAAACAGTGTAATTTTCAATTTCTTGCTTGGCAAAAATGGTCCATTTTGGGTTGTTGGAATATGAAAAAAAAATCATTTTTTGGTTTTTCAACCAAAAGCTGAAAAATTCAGTGAAAACAGTCTCAATTTTTTTATTCTGATGGGAAATAAAATCCATTTTCCAGCCAGCTCTTGAGAACAAGATTCAGCAGCTACGCATCTCTTCTAAAAGCCAAGGTTTGGAACGTGAACTCCCGACGCTTGTTTTAATACCTCGCTCTCGTGTCATGCTTTTCAGCAGGTGATCTCAAAGCACTTCTGAGCCTTTATTGCATTTATCCCCACGACACTCCGCTGAGATAGAGCAGGTGGGAAACTGAGGCACAGAGGACGTAAGTGACTTGACTGAAGTCACCCAGGAAGTCTTCACTGCCCAGACCACTGCACAATCCTGTCTCAGCTCATTCAACTCAGAGCCCCATCTGTTCCACATGTTTTCAGCTTTGGCCTGGTCTTTGCTGGGACATAAGGTGTGTTTTTGCCACACGTTAGCGGCTAATTAACATGTGGCATCCTTCTAGCGTGGACAAGGGATCTGTGGTTTTAACACGTGAGCATGGCACCGGAGGAGCTTTTTGCCTCAATTAGAGTTTGTGGCCCTGTTGTAACTATGCCCCCACACCCTGCACCAGACCTTTCGGTTTGTGTTCTGTAGAGGATCCGGGTGAACAGGGTTTGTGGTTACTAGATGCCCTGCCTGGGTAAATATTTTCCTGGAACTTGGCCACTTAAAGCAACTGGATCACCTCAAAATCCCAGCACCTGAGCCTGTCTAGTGGCCTGCAGTAATCTCAAAGGCTAAAATTCCTACTGACTGCAATGGGGAGCAAAGTTAGATCAACATGGAGGGGGGCTTTGGAAAATACCACCAAGAGCCTGAAACTCGGTCCCGGGGCTCAGTTAAAGGACATGCAAATGAAAAGCAAAACTGAGCTTTGCTGGGTGTTGCATCTTTACAGTGGAGAAAGACAGTGGAAAAGTTTTCCTCCCAAATAATTTTGGGGTCTTTCTTCAGTTTGGTTAACATAAATCTATCACCCCTGGCTAATGAACAGTTGGGAGAAAGATTTCCTTTGTTAAATATTTAGCACCACCGCCCCTGCAATTAAGGTCTGAAAGGCTCCCAGCAGGTACTCAGAGAGCCCTCCTCCCGACATGCCTGTGCTCTCACCACTGGGCCATGCTACCTCCCACCGAGCTGCCCGGGGCCGAATGGCACGAGAATGCTCCGCAGGGCCCGGCGCTCGGGCACGGTAGGGGAGACTGATCATGCTGCCGTCTCCGCTGTGCCTGGCTCTCAAAGCCTCCTGGGGAGGCGGCAGGCTGGCCCCAGCACCAAGTCTGCTCTGCTCCGCAAAA